TGCTGTGTCCAGTCTGGACTGGTTTTCCTCCAGTAGTCCTACTGCTGTCTTCAAGTTCCCATCATTGTCATCGGGGGCCTCCCTTTGCCTGTCTCCTGTTCCCTTGTCCTATTTCCTGTAATTCATAACTTCTTTTTTAATAGTTTTTTTTTTTTAATTTTGGTTTTTCTCCGGTACCAGGAATCGAACTCATGACCTTGTGCTTGCCAGGCAGGCGCTGTACCACTGAGCTAAATCCCCAGCCCCGTAATTCATAACTTCTGTGTACCCTCTCTCGTTGGAAATCCATCTCCAAAAGCTTCCCAAAAAAGTGTTCATTTCTGAGACCTTCCATGTCTAAATATGTCTTTTTAAAATCTAATTTGATACAAGGTTTGCTGGCTGGGCACTAAGTTACCATTAGATGAAAGTAACAAGTTCTGGTATGCTACCGACAGTAGGGTGACTAGTGCTATAGCTATTGGGGAGCTCTGAGAATGTGAGAGGGAGGGGCTTTTGTAGTTTGTGAGCCCTCACAAGCCACAAGTGTGCTAATCTAGATGTACTGTTTAGTTGGGAACTTCCAACATTAATACTTTAGAGTCTTCCTCAGCTGGTGAAATAACTTTGAAAAAAACTCTCCTAGTCTTCATGTTGAATAAAGGCCTGGCTGCCAGCATCATAGAAACTGAATGTTACAAGGCAGTTTGGGAATCTACTTATATTTAACTAATTTTTTAATATATTATCACTCCCTCATCTGTGCCTGCATTTTACCCTCTTTTTAAAGATTCACTCTCCAGTCTTTCTCTTTAATAGCATTAGGATACTTCTCAGACTGCTCGAGATAGGAAGGAAATCTGGAGACTGGAACATTTAGGGGTTTTGTTGTTGGTTTAGTTTGGTTCGGTTCTGAGGATTGAACCAGGACCTTGCACATGTTACGCACATGCTCTGCTATTGATTTATACCCCTAGTCCTCAAATCTATTTGTTAAGCAGATTTTCAGTTACTCGTTCTTACTTTAGCCCCTCTTCCCCTGCCTCATCCTCCATTCCAGATTGTTATGCCCAAATGCCCAGACTTCAGGAGATTGTACAGTGTAAATCCCACTGGCTTTCAGCTTTCCCTTGTGCCTCTCAGGCTTCAGTGGTCTCGTGGCTGTTCAGTCACTGGCCTCCCTCTTTCTTTATAGCTTCCAGATTTTTCATACAGGCTCCTCTCCTGTTCTTTCTCATGTGTATGGATTTATGCTGCTTAAAATAAAGATCCCTGTATGGTCATTTTATTGGTGTGGTAGGAGAAAAAAGAAATAGATGTGTCACTCTACTGTCTTTCACCAAAAATGTATATTCAATTCCTAAATATTAAATACAAATATGCAATTATATTCACCCTATCTCTCAAAATAGTCTGTTATTATGAATTTTATTAAAAATACTGCGAGCACATAAAACTCAATACTGTCTATAACAGAAAGATAATTAACTTCTTAAACTAAATAAAATGCAATTTAAACCATATTATCATACTTATTGTTATCTCCTATGTTTCATGTACCTAAAATGTAAGTTGAGAGGTTAGCACCCAACCCAAAGTAGTGTAAAGTTTAAGTATGTAATACCTGTAAATCCCCAAAGACAGTGCCTGACATATAGAAGTCAGTGTATGCTGAGCACTGACAGTAGAAAATTGCCCTGTGGGAACTCAGCCTGTGAGGTCAAATGGTAAACAGACAACAATGTGAAACCTATATAATAGAATTATCAAAGTACAAGAGTAATATAGAGGAAAAAAAATGACCAATACAGAAAATTAGGTCTTTATGTAGCTGAGACACCAACGGGTACTTTGCAGAAAAATTATTTAGGATTACTCTTTAATTGCCTTATTGTTGATAGAGTTATAAAACAATGTAAATAAGAATTCTTAAAATATTTATCATTCTTTGAAAGTATGATAATCAGTTTTACTATGCTTTGCAAATATTTATTATAATCAATTTTATCAACAAAAACAAATTGGAAAAGAAGAAATAAAAACATACTAAGTATCTTATATAGGGGTGAAACTGAGTTTCAAAACTGCTTTGTTCTTTTTTGTTTTGTCTCAGTCCTAGAGACCAAACCGATGGCCAGGTCCACACTGGGCAAGTGCACTCCCACTGAGCTACACCCCAGCCTTTACCTTGTTTAGCTACTAAAATAGAGTGTTGATCCTTTCTATGCTTGTAACTTTGTGCCAGCTACTATGCAAAGCACTTATGCACTTTGAAAAGTATTTAATGATGTAAGAAAATACAAGTAAAAAGTCACGTGTTAAAGTAATATAATTTTATTTTCAAATGTATGCATAGAAAATTATAAGAAATATGTTCTTAAACAACAAAAGTATTGTCTCTAATGGAAATGATTGCTGATTTTTATCTCCTTTAGGAACTTTTTTGTTTTCCAATTTTTTTTTTAATCTGTGCTTGTTATTTACAAGAAAAAGTTAGAAAGGTATTGCAATTGTACTTGGCAGTGAGATGTGATTTAGCTAGAAGGGAGAATTACCATTTTCATGGGCACAAGAAAAACAAGAGCTTTTTTAACTTATTGGCATCATTTATTTGTATCTTGTCCAAAAACAAACAGTGAAAATTTTACTTCTCAACACTTCTTGTATGCCTAAGAGTTCATACTTGTTTTTTCCTTATTTCTTTTTCCAATCAGAGTTATATACACACCTGGCCACACTGATGATCATATGGCTCTACACTTAGAAGAAGAAAATGCCATTTTTTCTGGGGATTGCATCCTAGGGGAAGGGACAACAATATTTGAAGACCTCTATGATTATATGAACTCCCTAAACCTTTTACTGAAAGTCAAAGCTGATATTATATATCCAGGTGGGCAATTTTTTTATTCTAGCAACCCATTCTTGTCAGATGATGAGGAAGTTCATTTCGGCTTGGCTCTGTGTATATATTCAGCCTTGAAGAAATATGTATAAATTGTTGTAAATTAACACCCAGAAGTCTTGTCTAGCTATATGGTTAAATTTAAAGAGAAAGCTGCGAATTATATTAATAACCCTTTATACAGTGAATGTAATCATTGTACACTGCAAAACATAGTAAGACAAGTTTTTTTAAAAAACAGTGGATAAAATTTTTAGAAAATAACCTTTTATAAAGATAACAGTTATTTTTCAGTATCTACACAGCTGTTGATAGACCTGTTAAACAAAGGAAATAAGTATACCTCAGAACAGGAAAATGTTTTCATTCCATAAGCTACTGTTATTTTTGTTAACTTGCTTTCTGTTAGTACCACATTTTAGCTCTCTGTAACCATGGGCAACATTTGACATCTGAATTTTGGTTTCTTAACTCATAATATTGAAATATCAAGTTTCCATAACAACAATAAAATGTTATTTTTATTCCATTCTCCAGAGAAAGAAACTTGTATTTCAGATTGTGCTGCTGTACAGAATGAATCTCCACTCCATATTAAAAACTAAGACACAGGACCCAACAAGAAGGCCCAGACAGAAAAGGGGACTAGGTTACTTGATTTTCTGAGTCCTTCTAAATTTGGTCCAGGCTGGGCATAGTGGTGCACACCTGTAATTCCAGCATTCAGGAGGCTGTGGCAGGAGGATTGCCATGAGTTCAAGGCTAGACTGGGCTACACAGTAAATTCAAAGCTGATATGAACCACATAGCATGACCCTATAACCAAATAAATACAAACATACATAAATTAATTTGCCCCTAAACGAGCAACCATAGAAAGATCTGTTAAAACAGTGTCTTCAGCATGCTTACCTACTGCTGAGCGAATAGTGGAGCTGGGCATTTAGATAGTTATGACATAAAAAGCTGATAGCTCTTTTTAAATAGAAGAGAGTAGAAGTGCAGTGGTTAATGAGAGGCTGCCTGCAGAAGGTGCTTAGAGTGTTTGCTTTAGTGAAGCCAGTGAACTCGCTTATTAGCACAGCAGCTATTAAATGTAAATTATCTTCTGTAAGCATCACTACCATATTTTAAAACCTGCTGTCATCATGTTCTGTGCAGGGGTCTTTATATCTGTCATCCTCACAAAAACCCTTTGAGGTAGGTAGTGGTGTCCTCATTACACTGTTGACGATACAGGCTCAGAGAGACTCAGACACTTCCTTATGCGCACACAGCTAATAAATGATAGTCTAAATTCCAGAATTCTTTATGTGATACGTTAGCCTGCTTCTGGATATTATATTTTCAAGTGAAACATTCTTCTTGCCAATTTGTGGAATGTTTTAATTTACATTGTTTTAAAGAGTAAAGTAAATTTCATTATAACTTAATCTGAGTTGTCACATTTGTAAATTAATAGCCTAGACATAAACTCTTAAAGTTATACTATGGATCTTGTGAATTTCTAATAACTTTGGTCATCTGCATGACACTAATTTTTGCTTTCCCCCTTTTCAGTAAGTTTACCATAATGGTTAAGAGCTCAGACTGGTTTAAAACAGCCACGTCAGGCTGGATATGGTGGCATACACCTATAATTCCAGCTGCTTAGGAGGCTGTGACAGCAGTATCTCAAATTCAACGCCAGCCTGGGCACCTTTTCAAAATCTTGTCTCGAAAAATAAAAAGGCTTAGAATGTAGCTCAGTAGTAAAGTACCCCTGAGTTCCATCCCCAGTTACACAAAAGAAAGAGAAGAAGTGCTTAGTCAGAATCACAGCTTCACCCCCTCTGGGTAGGTCATCTGCTCTCTCTGTGCCTCAGTATCTGCTATAAAAAAAAAGAATAACAGTAGTACCTATCCCACAGGATCCTTGAAGAAACAATGTACATTAAGCATGAAGAACCGTGCTTGTCATATAGTACTGTGTAAATATTACCTATTACTCTTGTGATCGCTGATTTTATCGCTATTATTAAAATCTGTATTTTAGTATACACAATAGTTGGTTTATTTGTTTGTTATTTTTCTGAGACAGGGTCTCCCTATGTAGTTCAGGCTGGCCTTGAACTCACTGTATAGCCCAGGCTGGCCTGCAACTTGCAGCGATCCTCCTACCTCAGCCTCCTGAGTGCTGGGATTACAGGCGTGCACCACCAGGACCAGCAACACAATAGTATTTTGTATAGATTTTATTTTGTATAGTTCTCTAAGGTTTTTGGCATTAACCAAAACCAGAGAACTATACATTGTATAGGTTTTTGGCATTTTTGGTTTTAAATCGTAGACCAGTAAAGCTTTCCAAATAATACATATTTGTGTATTTAGTGTGCTTTTTTAATGCAGCATATAAATTATTTTTAAATAGAGTGAATTAACTTTGTACTTAATTATTTTATCTGGATGAAAAATTTGTATAATTATTTCAATTCAGGTCATGGCCCAGTAATCCAAAATGCAGAAGCTGCAATTCAGCAGTATATTTCTCACAGAAATTACCGAGAAGAACAAATTCTTACAGTCATTCGTGACAATTTTGAAAAATCATTTACAAAAACGGAACTGGTAAAAATTCTTTACAAGGTAATTTTGACTTATCTTACTGGTGCATAGCAACAAACTTATTAGAATAAATAGTTTTACTCCGTATACTGTAATTATACCTCATTCCAGATCAGAACATGTCTGTCAGCATTTTCTATCTCGTGCCATTTTTCTAGAATTGAGACCAGCAGCTTCCTCTTCTGTGATACTAAAGTTAAAAAAAGTACTGTCCATAGAGAACAGAAATAGCCATCCTGAGGCTTTCTTCAGCTTTTAAGTACTTCACTCTGCAGGAGAAGCTGCTGCCCACAGTTTTATAACGACATATGTTATTCAAGCATCTTGAGTATGTGGTGTCCTAGCCTGCAGAAAGTGAGACCTGGTGTTGACTTGAGTTAACGGCAATGAGAAATTGTAACATTGTCTAAAAGGGAGAAAATACCCATCAAAGAACATGAGTGATTTCAAATATGAGAGAGCCCCACGCCTCTGGGTGTAGCCTTTGAGCGTATTACAGTGCAGTAGCATAGTGTGGCACTCAGTGGTCCTCAGTTTTTCAGTAAATGTTTATAAGTATGTGCTGTATTGTTAGGAATAAATTCATAGTTAAGAATTTAGACTTCGTAATAAAATTTCGTGAGTTTAAAAAGTCTCACACTGCAACTTGTATAGCTATAAATTACATGAGATTGCTACTAAAGATAAGTTGAGAAAGGTTATATGGAGCCACAGTCCATAAAGTACTTTAATTTCCCATAGGCCTTAGTCATTAAGAACAGTTAAAAAGAAAGGGACAAATGGCTAAAACATCTAAAGATTAAAAATGTCATTATTTGGGGCTAGAGAAGCAGCTCAGTGGTAGAGCAAACATTTGTCTACCATACTCAGGGCCCTTGGTTCCATCCACAACACCACAAAAAAAAAATTATTAGCAAAAAAGTAACGTAGCCGGGTGTGGTGGCACATGCCTGTAATCCTACCACTCAAGAGGCTGAGGGAGGAGGGTTGCTGGAAGTGCAAGTTCAGAACTAGTCTGTGCTACACAGTGAATTCAAGGCCAGCCTGAACTACATAGTGAGACCCTGACTCAAAACACCAAAAAGAAGGAAGGGGGGAAAAATAGATACAGATTTATAGATATATGGATAGCTGATATAATTGTACTGCTCATGTCTATTGGTTCATTGAAAGGAACAGTTAGCTGGGTGTGGTGGTGCACGCCTGTAATCCCAGCACTTGGGAGGCAGAGGCAGAAGGATCATTGTGAGTTCAAGACCAGCCTGGACCACAAAGTGAGCTTAAGGCCAGCCTCAACTGCATAGTGAAACCTTGTCTCAAAAAGACAAAAAAGGAACAGTCAGTGCTTATATTTTTTTTTTACTAATTTTGCATGCTTATATCTGCTATTCCAGACAACTAATTTGAAGACAATAATATGCAACATAACAACCATTGGGGAACTCTTGCATTCTTATATCTGGTAATCTGAGCAACTTCACTGAAGATAACAATATGCAATATTAACAACCACTGTTAATTCCTATCGTTTTGTTTGGAAACCCTGTTTCATTTTTATTATTTTTGTTTTTGTCTATGTTATTCTTTCTTTCTCTTTAAAGTAAGAAACACCAAAAAAAGAAAGAAAAAGTAATGTAAATATTTAAATTGCATGAAATAACTCATAATACTAGAGCATTCGTACGTCAAGGTTTTTTTTCTAATCTGTGTACAGACAGTAAAATTCTCATAACCCTCACAGATGAACCATCAAGTAACATGCCCATGTCCAGACAAATACTAAATCTGCATTCAGAGGTATTCAGTGTATGTTCAGAAGTGTGCAAAAGACCTGATGCATACCAGATGGCAGTAGATATTCTAGAGTTATTTATTCATTGATAATTTATTGACTATTTTGATATGCAGAGATACAGAAGTGACTACAGAGCTCTGCCCCTAAAGGATTCATAGTTTAATGAAGACAGACATGTTTAACAGCTACTTACAATATAGGCTCTATGTTGATAATGTCCATTTATTGCACACATGTATATATGTCAGGTACTATCCTAAACGGTTTATACAGGTTAAGCAACCCTAATCCACTGTGTTCTGAAATCTGAACTGGTCCAAAATCTGAAATCATTTCAGCATCTGCAAAAGGTTTCAGATTTTGGAGCATTTTAAATATTCAGATCTTGGCAGAGGGGATCTCTGCCAAACTTCCTCCAAGTCCTATACCCAGTTTATCAAAGCACAGAAATAAAAGTGAGTTCTACATAGCAAAGGTGCGGGGAATAAGGTACAAAAAGCCTTCAGAAATTTACTCACTGAATTGAACCTTGAAGAAAGAGCAGGCATTTTCTAGGTCAGAGTAAGAAGAAAGGGAGTTATTCCAGGCAGCGGAGTAGATGTGTTCAAACACTAAGAGTGGTACCGTGAAAGAGCACTGCATGTGTAGAAACTCAAAGAAACCACGTGCGGCTGCAGCACAGATTGTATATGTGGATGGACAGAAGGGGAGCCCTGGAAAGGAGGCATGGTCAGATCACAGAAAGTCTTTGCTGCCAGCTAAAGTTGTGGGCTTTAGCCAATAATTCAGGAATGGTGATTTAAGCCTCCTAAGGAAGTCACACAATGAAATCTAGAAAATCTCAAACCTGTAAATTCAGATTTGGACGTCAGTGTCTCTGCCATAGTGAGTTACCTAGTGAAAAGAGGACCCGTGATACAGCTTTGTGAACATCAGTGTGTAAGAGAAGTATAAGGAAGAAGGCTCAAGAAGAAGACCAATGACAAGAAGAGTGGGGTACACAAGGGAAAAGTGACCTTCAAAAGGGATAAGCTACCCAGTGGATTTCAGGTGCAATGGGACTGAGAAGAATCCATTGAAATTTAACTGAAGTAATTTGGTGATCTTGGCAATATATTTCAGTCGAGAAATGGAGACAGTGCATTTAGGCAAGGAGCTTGGTTTTAGAGCTGTAATCCTTACTCAAAGAATAAAAGGAATATTTACTTTGTTTTCCTCTCAGATAACAGTTAGCAGTATTACCCTATTTTAGCAAACCTGAAGGAAAATTGTGAATCATAAGGTATAAAGAGATCATGAGCAGGGCATGGTGGCACATGCCTGTAATCCCAGCACTCGAGAGACTGAGGCAGAAAGATCACCAGGAGTTTAAGGCCAGCCTAGACCACATAGAGAGACCCTGTCTCAAAATAAAAAAAGTATTATCATATAACCTAGTAAGTAAACCAGGATAGCTCTCTGTTCAAAAACTAAGAATAATTACATGTTACTCATTTATGAAATATTAACAGTTACTGCTGTGTACCACTGTGTCAAGCACTGAAAACCCTGCTATTGTTATGGAACTTACTCTACTTTATCTAGAAGAATGTTTAGCCGTACAGTGTCCTACAGCAGGACATTTACAAGTAAGGGGTTTGTTTTAGGTTGTTACTATGTTAAAATGTGTTTAAGTTACACTTTTCTTCTTTGTTGTATTTTGTTTTCCTTTAAAGGTTTCCAAAAATTAAGCTCTTTTTTAAAAAGAAATATTTTTTCCTTTCACCTTTCTTTTCTTTTAGAATGTTCCTGAGAATTTACATAAAATGGCTGAACGTAATCTTGTGCTTCACTTGAAAAAATTAGAAAAAGAAGGAAAAATATGTAAGTATACTTCCAAATTTTAATTTGTTTACTACCAGCATGTAAAATAGAGGATGCATGAGTTTTCCATTAAGAAAACCAAAACCCATCAGAGTTTGTCCTTGAATATCACATTAAGTTGGAGAGACAGGCAGTAGGAAGGTTGGCCATACAAGGCCAGTGGACCACAAATTGGAACTATAAACTCTCACAGGATTTTTCTCATAGGATTCCAGTCACTCATTATTCTCACCCAGCAGAATGATACTCAAAGGAATGCATCAGGAAGATTAGCTTCTGTTCTCCCAGACCCCGAGACCCACCAGGAAAAATTCCACATGTTAAAGGTTAGGAATAGGCAGAGGCTTTAGACAGTATAAACTATGGTATACTCAAAAATACTAAAGCAGTAGTTCTGTAATATTTACTAGTGTTAATTTGTCAAATTAGTAGTTTATACTCATAGAAGTTTGATCCTTAAAATTAAAATGTTCTTAAAGCTTAAATTTTGTGTAGAAACTTCACCAGTATGTTTACATAGACACAAAAAAACTATTAACAAAATTATTTATGCAACATTATAATGAAAATATTTTAAGAATGAGTGATTTTTCTAGCCACAAGATGACTTAAAATCCAGTAAATTTACTTACCTTTTACTAAATGCTGATTTTCTTTCCACAGTTAGCAACACGGACCCTGACAAGAAATGGAGAGCTGTACTTTAGGTTCAGCTTAATGAAAGCTTTGTTTGCCTTTGTCTTTAAGGATGCTGTGCTTTCTTAGCTGTGGACTATTCACAGATACTACAAGATGTAGGACTTCACAGCTAACCCTAGATACACAAGTGGACCCTTGACTTAACAAACACAATGTTCTCAAGAGCAGAACTCAAGTTGTTGTGAGTCAAGACTGTTTTTTCCATAAGAAATAATGAAAATACCCAAAATGTGTCCTGAATCTCTCAAAGTACCCCTTAACTAACGTTTTCATAATTAAAAGGTTGTATAATATGCATAATTTACCAGAACACCAATAATTTTCCTAGCGTATTCGTCAAAAAGTTATAAAATATGCCTAGTTTACCAGAAGCAACACTTTTATAATGTACTCACCATTCAAGTTGACATCTTTGGCTTGCAAGAAGGATGAAATGGAAGGTGGTTACTGTTTGGAAGGAGAGTCCCCTTCCATAAGAACATCAGGAATCTGGCTCTCTGCTGTCCTTTCTGTCCTTAGGAGAATCTGTAGCCCACTAGGACCTGCTTCTGGCTCACTAAGTCTCATCCACTTCAGAACGAAAAACTGGTCTAAAGTCTCTTTCTGTCTTTTCTCTAACACTGTTCTGTAGTATGACACGACATTGTCATTAAGCAAGTGAATGCAACGATTGGCTTTTTCTCTGTCTGGGTGCATCTACTCTACAAATGTTTGTAGCTCTGCCCATTTTTTCAAGATTTCCTTTATTTCACAAGAACTTTGCTGCACTGATTGTTGATACTTCCCCTCCTCTTCAGAAAGCTCCTCAGCTGCCATTCTTCGTTGCTCAGCCAGAAGGTACTAAAGTTCCTCTGTAGACTGTTCCTCTGCGTGCTCCTCCCCAGGTTCCTCCACATCACCCCCGCCTACCTGTAAGCCTGTGGACTCTGCCATAGTGACAGTGTCATCAACCACAGGTTCCTCTGCACAGCCTTCAAAGTCCCTCTCCCGTATAATTTTAGGCCACACTTTCTTCCAGGCAGATCTCAGTGTCCTTAGAGAGACATTGGCCCAGGATTTCTCAATTAATGCCACCCAGGAAAAGATGTCGTAGTGTTCCTTCCAGAACTCTTTAAGCATTAGATCTGCATCTGAGACACATGTGCAGCCACTTCAGGAACAGTTCCTTGGGCTGTAGCTTCTTAAAGTCAGCTATGGCCTGCTTGCCCATAGGCTGCAGTACAGGAGTTCTGCTGGGTGGGAGGAACTCAAAACTGAGAGCCATGGGAATTCTTCAGCCAGTTCTTCCAGATCTCGTGGGTGAGCACCAACACTGTCCATGATGAGGAGACTTGAGTGGTAAACCTTTGTCCTCTAGGTATTTCCTAACGGTAGGACAAAAGTCTTTTGATCCATTCAAAAAAAAAGTACTCTTGTTACCCAGGCTTTTGTGTTCGGTCTCCACATGACCCCTAGCCTGTTCTTCATGACTATGTTTTCTGAATACTCTGGCGGTCTCAGTGGTAAACCAAGAGAGGCTTTATCTTGAGGGCCCCACTCGCATAGGCACATAACTATAAGGTTAGCCTAGCCTTCATAGGCTTGTGGCCTGGCATTTTCTTCTTTTCCTGTGTAATGTATGTTCTCCAGGGCATTTTCTTCCAGAAAAGGCCACTTTCATCTCAGTTGAAAACTTGAGAGCAAAAGCCATGTCTCTGTGTCATTGTTTCAAAGTGGTGTATGTAATTTTCAGCAGCACCTTTGTCGGCACTGGCTGCTTCACCATGCCTAGTTAGGCTGTGAACCCGTTCTTGCTTTAAAATTGTGAAACTACTCCTTACTGCATGAAATGTTTCACCATTATCACTTGTTGATGGATTATCCTTTATAAGACCTGCATTTATAGCCCTAGCTTTTTCACAAATTATAGACTCAGATAGGCTATAACCTGCCACCTGCCTTTCATTTATCCACACATTTAATAATAGCCTTTCTACCTTTTCGAACACTGTTGATCAACACTTACTAATTTGAGTAACAACTTCAGCAACAATAGCTTTGTTATACAAAGCTTTTCTCTGCGAAATTGTCAAGGTGGTGGGTTTCAACATGCTGTATACATTAGCAAAATCAGTCACACCAACACTACTCTCATATTTCTCCACAATTTCCTTCTTTTCAATGGTGATTGCTTTCTTTACCTTCCCTTCCATCCTTATAGCACTGATCATAGCAGTTATACGAAGCACTGACTGAAGTCACATCCACAAACACGCACGTGTGGGCTAAGACTGATGCTTACATATGCTTTTCCGGCATCATGAGTCTTCGTTTACAACTGCACAGTGCTGGTATTTGGGTTGTAACTCAAGACTCTGGTCATAAGTTAAACTTAAAATTCCAGTCATAGCTCAAGTTGTTCATATGTGAGGCTGGTCGTAACTTAAGGATCCACTCTGCTTCAAAACCATGTCATAGTTTGAAATAAATAAATTATATGACATACTTACAGTACAGGTTATCTATACTTGGTCTTACAACATTTTACAAAAAATTCAGAATCTAGAAGTCTATTGATTTTATATGGATAAAGTAAAATGGTTACTTTAAAAATAATAAAATTTGTGCAACTTACACCAGGTAATAACTCTTGGAGAGTACTGTAGTTATTATTAATCATCAGTAAATAGTTTTATTTTCTTCCACCCTCTGTATCTGTGAATAAAGCTTTGTTTTCATGTTTTTGTCAATTATGATTAAGAATTGGTTCTATTTTACCATATCGTACACATTTTATAAAGATATCAATGATTTCTGTATATCAATTGTTGATAAATGAAAAATATTAAATGCTTAATTAAAAGTATTATATGATAAATAATTATTTGTGTAATCCATTATTGCACTCAACATACTTTCCAAGTTTAGATGTTACCATATAATCATCAGCTTATATATGAATTATATACCAAAAAGTCTTTTAAATTAGAAGGTCATAAGGTAGGGCTTTCTAAAATTTAAGTAGCATTCTAAAATAATGGTTATGTTGCGAGTCTAGCTCTGTGGTGTTTATTTAACCTTATAAGGTTGCCACATTTGAAAACTAGAATAAACTCAGAATCTGAGAGTATGCTTTCCTTATTTTTCCCTAAAGGAAAGAATTTCTTGTCTTTGACACGTCTTTATTGTGTTCCTCCATCTCCTCCCCTTCTTCTTATCTCCTGACCCTTTTTCCCAAGGTTCCTAGCATCTTTGTACCACTTCAATACTCTCATTCACATGTCTGTTGTATACCCAGAACTATTCCATATTACAAAATAACTATAAAGTTTTTCAAAAACAATTCACAGATGGGCAAAGAATTTAGACATTTCTCCAGAGAAGACAGGCAAATGGCCAGTAATCACATGAAATAATATACGTGGCTTCTCCAACAGAATAGCCACATCTGCATACAGGAAAGCTTACCAGCTGATAAATTATGCTTGCACACGTATACAATTCGCAACCAGTATCTCAAACAAATTTAAATATTAGCAGATAGGAATGTGTAAAATAACCTTTAAGGAAAGATGATAATGCATAAGAAAAATGCATTGGTATCTTTAGATACTTGGTGGGTAACATTTACGCTATGATTTGGAACTATACTTAGAAGGTAGGCTGAGGATCCCAGAAAAACTGCCTAAGAAATTCAAGAAGCCTCCTGCATTGTGACCAAGCCTAGTGTTGGTCTTAACCTTAAAGATTTCCTTCTCTTATCTTTCCTAGCCTAGTGCTCATTTCCTAATTATAATAAACTCCTACTGCAGTACTCACCCGCTTAGGTTTGATTTTGTTCCTGCGTTTTCACTTCCCAGTCAACCATTGTCTGAAAATGTTGAATAAAAACATTCCAGAAATTGACCATTCATAAGTTTTAGGTGGCATACCATTCTGAGTAGTGTTATCTAATCTTTGGTATTCCCTGCTATCTCACCCTGGACGTGAATCGCCTCTTTGTCCAGTATTTCCATGCTTTGTATGCTACCTGCCCATCAATGACTTAATCTTCTCTATTACAGACAGTAACTGTGGTCAAGTAACCCTTATTTGAATTTCTAAAGGCCCCAACATGTATTAAGTAGTATCACTGGCAATTTGGATATGGCAGAGAAACTATAACATGCTTCTGTCTGACACTGTCAAGAAGGAAAAATAAATTCTTGCTAGTGTTGCTGTCATTATTTCAAATGGTAAAAATTATGGTTATAATGTGTAAGTGTACTAAGTGCTTAGTTAAGATAGAAAAGGCATTAAATTGTAATGTTTGTTTCTGTTTGTGGTTTCAGGCATCCGCTGGGAGTCTAGTATATTCCCTGAGGATAAGGGAGAGAAGTGATTTCCTTCTATGCAGCCTATTCCTGTTTCCATTCACTGTGATGAAGGTGGTAAAAGTTTAGCAGCAGCATCTGTTGAGTCAGCACCTTATCTGTGAAAAAATGATACCAGTATCTACCTCAGTGAGTTGCTGTCAGTATTGAGTAGTCTGTAGTGTTTATTGTAAGGTTCGTGCCCAACAAATATTAGTTGCTTGGTTTTTGCTGTTGCTAACACTACATTCACATATTTCCTTTTGACTATTGCACTTTGACTTACACCCGTTAAGTGTCACAAAATACCATATTTACCACTTTTTTTTATCAATTTAAATTTTATTTTGAGACGGTCCTGCTAACTTGCGTAGGCTAGCCCCAAACTTGTGATCCTCCTGACCCAGGCTTCTGAGTACGGAAATTATAGCCATGCGCCACTATACCTGGCTACAACATAGGCTTTTTAGTAAACTTTTACATAATTTTATGAAATAAAATTCACATTCTTCACCCTGAGAGTTAAAATTTAAAACAGGTACAGTATTGCCAAACCTTAAATGGGTGATTTCATTGAGCCTCTTGGTTCTCATTTAAAATAAGGATAAATTATATTACTGGATAGTTATTTTGGCCCGTCCTGGTTTTATGCTTTACCCTGTAGATAAGGGTAGTGTAAGACGGTGTTGGAAAGGGGTATTGGGCAAACAAGAACAGGAATCTTCACAAGCGTCCCGGAGAACAGTGAAAATGTTCTGCAGGTAGAGTAACAGTAGGAGGTAGTTGGATGAAAGGATAAAAAACCAATGTAATGACATATGAACATGAGCAAGTGAGAATGGATGGAATATTTGATATGACGGCCAAGGGCTATGAAAATGTACAGGAGGGTGGATTTATAAAATAGTACAGCTGTCACAAATAGAAGAAGGATGTTAGTTGGAATTTGTTGTGCTTTCAAGATAATACTGTCTTCTAAAAAGACAGGAAAACGGTGGTAAGTGGTTGGGTGGTGAGAAGGCCAGGACAAGCTAGAGACAGCAGTAGTTCCTGGGCATACTTTAGAAGGCAGCTGAACACTTACATGTGCTAGGGACGCACCCAGTACATCACCTTTTCCTGAGAATTAAACATGCAGAGCATCATCCTATGCAAAAGGCTTTCCCAAACCACTTGTAAAATTAGAACTTACACCTCAAGGAGTTTGTGACTGGTAGAACTATGGTAAGTAGCTATCTCGTAGCCACC